TGTGTGTGTGTGTGTGTGTGTGTGTGTGTGTGTGTGTGTGTGTGTGTTTATGCGCATGTGTGCTTGTAAAGAAATTAAAAAGACCCACACATGGAAAGGGGGGCGGCCTTTAGACTTGTCCTAACAAGGACGAGACACAGATTTCCCCCAGCACTGCTCTTGCAGCTGATCTGGTCCTTAAACCCACCACATGTGACCAGCTGTGCTTGGAAGCCTTTGACACTGTGATCACTGCCTGGGAGTTTCTGACAAAAGCTTGTGCTCACTCCAGCTTCAGGCCAATGACATGCACAGAAGAGCAGGTGGCTTAGTGAGAGTTCCTGTCTCCTCTTTCTTCTTCCCTCCCCGTCCTCCCTGCCCACTTCCAAACTTGCACCGGGCCTCACCCCCTACACTGCGGGTTAAGTCATTCTATCAGCAAGTCAAACTCAGGAAATCAAAGGCTCCTGCATTTAAGTGTTCCCAGGGAATGACTTGAGAAAATGTCACAATTTGTCTCTGGATCTATGATTTTTGGTGATGTCTTTGATTTGGTGGTGGTATTATTCTTACAGGTAGATTAAAGAATTTTCAAAACGTCAATAGTTTCCTGGGTTTGCACAATCTGTACGTGTGTCTCCTTCTGTGTGTGTGTTCTGAAGTTGTGAAGGTGAAGTTGGTGTGGGTGTTTCCTGCCCTTGGAGTAATTTGGCCAACGAATTGCATCAGTGAAAGCTGAGAATGAGATTCATATCCGGTGTTTCTTATGTTCTTGAATTTATATCCAGATTTAGTCATTATCTTAGGCAAACACAACTGGCCTCTTTTCCCTAATTGCTGAATTGTTTATCTTTTTTACCCTTGTTGCTAAGCTGGCTACCCTGAAAGTGAACAGTCACAGATATTTTCCAGCTCTTGAAGGTGGCTGGCTCCTTGGGAGGCTCTCCTCCCTGTCAGGTTTATACATTGTCTCTATACTCGGTGGGTAGATTCTGAGGAAAGCAGTGTGCTAATGTGATCTTGAATGTCACCTTTTGTAATTTTTGTTTTGTGTCAAATGTATGTTTCAGGACTACTTCACAGACTTAATCACTAACGAGAGCATTAATTACTTCAAACTATCTAAGAGAATGTATCCCCATAGGCCCATTATGATGGTGATCAGCCACGCAGCACCCCACGGCCCTGAAGACTCCGCCCCACAGTTTTCAAAACTGTACCCCAATGCCTCCCAACACATGTGAGTAACAAAAACCTCAATGCACCTTGCTGAACGTGGCCCTTGCCTGTGCTTCCCAATTTACCCTCCTCTTCACCCTGTTTCCTTCCGTTCTGTGTAGCCCCCAACACACGTGAAAACTGAAGGACACAGCATAGGACAGGCAGAGACATCAGGTTTGCAGTAGAGGGTGCTGGGGGTTCAGATTGGGAGTCACATTTCCAGAATCTGCCAGCAGCTCAATGAAGAGGCTCACATCAGGGAAATGGAAGCAGTTTTCCCCGAGAGCTCCTTCCAGCCTTCTAAATGATATATTCTGAAGTATGACCTAAGAGTACTGATGGGGTGGAATGGTTCGCTTTTCACAGGCACGGGGCGGCCCCTCTCTGCTCCGGCTATAGAAATGTGGCTTTGTTTTCTTTCCTGGGGAGCACAGGAGCAGCTTGGCTGCAGATGTGCAATTAGGTGTGTGCAGAAAGCAACTGAAGGAGCCTGCCTGGGAGGCCCACTCAGGTCACGGCTTTAAAATAACCTAATGTCTTGAGAGGAGGGGGGCTGGGGAGGCTCAGGGGAGGCCCTGGTGGCTAAGAGGGGTGGAGGGAGAGAAGAGAGCTGCAGTGTGCTGATAATCCTCCCTGGCCAAGGGTGGAAAAGTCTAGGTGCCTTGGCAGCGAGGAACACGGTTTTGTTGTTGACTCTGTCAACACGGTTCCTCCCAACCGTGACACCCTATATGTAGCCTTCCGCATGCGGTAGCTGGGATCAGGTCTGCTGAAAGCACACCCATTCAGAAGGCACCTTTTATCACAAGTCCCTGAAACTAGTTCATGATCTAGTTGTGCTGGAATATTGCCCCTGCCTGGCTTTTCTAAACAAGATTCCAGACAGAAAGAGCCTTAGGGATAGAGAAGTAACTATTGACGGAATTGCCAGGCACTGGGCTCCTTTCTATTCTTAGTATCGTTCTGTCACTAGCCTTACTCAGTCACATGACCAAGACTAACAGGAAAGAGGTCAGAGCTCACTTAGAAGAGAAACTAACAATAAATAAGAAGCAAAGTGGGTCACCTACTGTGCCCAGGAGGATGCAAATATTTTATTGCATGGAAGATAAAGACACACAAGACGGTCACTCCAGCGACAAGGGGGAGTCTGGGCTCCGTGAGCACTGTTTTGAACTCAACTAAATGGACAGAATCCTTCCCTTGTTACTGACGCTGAAAATGGATTTATGAATGGCGCCTCTTAGCAGGTGGCCCCCTATTGTAGCTCATTTACAAATTCAGTAAGCAGCAGGTGTAGCAAGAGGAAAATGTCTTTTGGGCTTCTTCAGTAATACCTTGGAGCTCACCTTTTCCCTCTCTCTTTTTTGATCAGAACTCAGGTTGTGTAGCTCCCTTTGCTACATGAGCTCCATCCCAGCCTTGGATGGCTTTCAGCAGCCTTATACCTTAAGGGCATTCCTCAGAGTTTGCGGAGAAGGGGTTTAAATGTGGCATTTCATGGTTCTTTAGAGGTCAGCCTGCCTTTGAAACTTCAAGGCTAGGTCCTAAGCCTATATGAAAACCAGCAGTTTTAGAGACCCTGACATCTATGTGGCGTGTACAGACAGTAAATGCACATGGAGGGGCGGGGGTGTGACTGGGGGAGGTAGCTCTGAAGAGTACACTGGAAATTATATGTATCCGGCTAGCATACAGCACAGACTGAGGAAATTAATCTTAGTTAAGGTAGTTAAGGAAGGGTTCAATGGGTGCCCCCTAAACACCAATAAACTAGGATGGGGGGGCAGTCCCAAACTCAGCTTGGATTCCTAAGGTTTTACTGAAACACAGCTACTCATTCATTGTGTGTACAGTGTAGCCACATTTGAGACCGACCAGCCAAGTGGAGCTGTGGCGTGGTCTGTAAAACTTAAAAGACTTACAGTAAACTTGCCCAGACCCAAGTCTGACAGGGAGAATGGGTAAGTGTCCAGATAGCCATAGCATTAGAGGGCCAGAAGTGTCAGGTGTGACAACTGTCCCAGCCCCGCAGAACACTGGGGGAAAGCAGTCGCACCTTTTGGGGGAAATGACCAACAGGGTCCGGAGTGGACCTGGAAAGATGGGGAAGGTATGCAGGAGACTCTCCAGCCATGAAGTGGATGCTTTCAGGGACAGAGTATAGCACAGACATTAAAGCGTCAGGGAGTTAGGAAGGCTGAGAACCACTGCTCTAATACGTGACCTAGCAGCTGAAGAACGGGGTACAAAGAAAGCAATAAGAAATAAAGCTTAAAGGGAAAATGGTTGCAAAATATTGGGCAGCTCAGTGAGTCAGTACATAAGTAGGGTGGTAAGAAAATATGATCACTTGCACATGGGAAAGGGTTGAGCTGTGCCTCTCTACGGCTAACAGGCCAGCATTGATCCAACAAAGCCAAACTTTCGCCTGGCAGAATGAAAGTCTTCAGGCCTGACTCGCCTGTCCATTAAGGCCCCCAGGAGCCTTCTCCAGGAGCTCAGCTGTGAGTGGAAATAAATGAGTCGCCTTGGTGCAATGTCAGGAACCAGACCTTAGAGAAGTAGCAGAGGTGACGTTCCCACAGAGGCACATAGAAGCCACCCTGTTGGTGTGCATCCTTACTGATACTCTCTATGAAGATCAGCCATATGCAAATGTCAGTATGATTGGCCCACAAATAGTGTAATTTCACGCTGTCTCACTCAAGGTTTGAAGAGAGCTGACAGAGAACTAAGCCCGCACTTGCCCCTGGTGACAGGGTAAATCCCTTGACAAGCTAAGACTTTACTGCCATGAACCCCGCACACCTGGCCATTCTGCAAAGAATCGATCTGGGCTATCATCTTTTCTAGATGTGCAGTTTTGCTCTGGGCAAATTCTGGGTGGGAGAACATTCCTAGCCATGGGGAGCGAGCGTGCAGTCAGCAGTCAGTGAAAGACTCTGGTTTGTGCACCCAGTGTGTGGAGAGAGACTCACATGCCTCCAGCAGGCCACAGGAGCCTTGAGTCCCTGGCTGCCTTCTTACACAGGTCTCCCTGACTGCTGATAGGGGGAGGGAGGGAATGAGTGCCCAGGTTCAGAGTTCAGTCCTTCAACAAAAGGAGCAAGACAAATTGAAGACAAGCTGCAGACTGCGAGGCATGGTAGCTACTGAATGGCTGGCTCCCTTAGTGAAAACATTAGCCACGCAGTCAAGCAATGGGCCGTTAGCAGTGAAGGGCTCTGCAGAAATATTTGGCAGGCCCTGTGGAAACAGCATGGAGCTGGCCTTCGGCGCGGGAAGCTAGTCATGAGGACGTTTTGCTTCAGGTCTTCCTAGGTGGCCAAACATCACCCGCTCCCTTTCATGCAGCCCTGGGCTGTGGCTATCTGACCCTCTTACACTGGGGAGAGTGGATCAAGTTTCCATGGTGTTTGCTTCCCTGACAAAGAGAGAGGCCCATTCAAAATCAGCACACTGGCTTTACAAACCGAGGGGAGAGGTTATGCCTCCCAAGTAAGAATAGGAGCGGATTATCTCTCTCTTGTTCACATGGGGGTCCTGTTTAATCAGACAGTAGCTCGGCCTGTCTTGGCCTCCAAAAAAAATTCAAGAAAAGCTCCAACTAGGAAATCCACATAAAACTCTTACCATGAAGCCCTTCACGATGGCAGAGACTCTCCTAAGCTTTCAGGAAATACTTCAGGCCTCAAACTCCCCATCCCGTGTGATAATGCGCCCCTACCACCCACTGTGGCCCATCAACTCTGGAAACTGTTTTTTAATTGTTTTGTTTCAGTAGGTTTTTCTTCCATACTTCGCACACACACAGAGAGTCAGGAGTGTGGGGGCGTGGAGCTGCTAATTGGAGCAGTAAAGAATTGTCTCCTCTGAGGGCTGGAGAAAGGCTCAGTAGTTAAGCGGCCCTATTGCTTTTCCCAGAGCAGCCAGCACCCAAGCCCAGGAATGGCCTGTAACTCCAGCTCCAGGGCACTCAGTTTCCCTCCTGGCCTCTGACAACGGCACCTGTAGTCATGTGCACATACCACACACAGGCATACACACACAACTTAAACATACAACGAATCTTTATAAAATGTCTTGACTTAACAAGAATTTGTATTTTCATCCCTTTCACAAAAAATAATAAAAGTTATACTTATGAAGATGAAAAATTTTCAACACTCCATATAAATTTCCAATTTGGGAAGACTTGTTCCCTTCTCTATAAACCTACTCCGTTCTTTCCACTTTATGATGAACCCCTGTATGCCCAAATTCCTGAGCTTAGGGGCATGACCCCAGAGGAGCACAACCACATGGGCCCTGCTAGGGACCCTGTCTCAGCAGCTTTGCCCCAACTCAAAGACAAAAGCCTCTCTCTCTCTCTCTCTCTCTCTCTCTCTCTCTCTCTCT